TATCTATTTTTGCTCCCTTTCCCGAAGGCCCAGCAATAAGGATTGTAAAATGTGTCTCTGCTAGAGACCTGACCCATGGACCAGAAGCAATTCGTCCTTTTAAAGAACCTCCCATCCAGATCCAGAGGAAAGGAGTAATGGGCGGGGAAAAGAAAACTGGAGGAGGGGAGGTAATCCTCTTTCTCTCTCCCCCTCCACACCTTGCCAGTTCTCAATGGATACAGTCCTACCATGGTTCAGCCGACCGGGTAGACTGTGCAGGAGACACGTCCCTCCTTGCCACCATCTGGAACAAGGAGGGGGCTCCATTCCAATGCCGAAAGGGAAGGCGACAGAGATTCTGCACCACCCTCGGCCGCCTCTCTTGCCTCTGCTCTCCCCAAGCTCTTCACTGAGCGTCTGTTCCCAGAACCGCTGCACACCGCCACGGCTAGATGGGGGGGAGAGCAGTTTACCGCCACCTTCCCAGCGGGGTCCGAGGCGTTCCTCTCAGCGCCACGACTGCCTGGGGGCCTCCCAGGACTGCTGGCACTGGATCCATTGTAATTTGAGGCCTGCAGCTCTCGAATATGTTTTAGGGCTGGAAGGTAAGTACCTTCTCCCATTGCCCTTTAGGTCTCCGCTTCTTCTTCTGACCTTCCGGTGTCTTCTGGGATCTTCGTGCTCTTCAGAGCACAGCCAGAACATCCTGCTCAGAAGGCAGGGCCGGTATGACTGGGGATCAGAGGATAAGCCCCTCCCCTCTGGGACCAAAGTTTGCCGGCCCTGCCTACGGAAGGGGGAGGTGCTTTCCCAGGAGTAAGGAGTCAAGGACTGCCCCACTCCTGGACCACCAGAGAAAGGCCTCTCTATTTTGGTGATCACAAGAAGGCCCCACATATTTCCTGAACTAGTGGGATGGGAAGAATGGAGAGGGCTTAGGGTAGTATGGTCCAAACTAGTATAGGGCCCCTGGAGAAAGGACATTTGCCTGGAAGGATAAATTGCAGTTGTGACTGCAATAAACTGGAATCAATTTCATAGAAATGTACTTGGCTTTAACTCAAACAGTAAACTAAATTACAAGAAATGTCCTTATAGAATTTCTTTTTAACTATCATGCAAGCGTAGCACCAGATATACTACAATTACAAAAGAGCTATGAGTTTAAAAGGTACTTTGTAAAAATGCATGTTGTGTAATGTTTCTTGTTCCTTCATTTCAAAAGATAAAAAATAGGATTTTAACATTAGAATATGCTTAAGAAATAAAAATGGTAATACTAAGCATATGAAAAATAATTAGTTCTTATAGTTCAGTGTATTAGAAAACAATCAAAACTTAATTCAAAATATTAAGGGGCATAAAGCACCGACAGACTGAAAGAAATGGTATGTATATATGTGCAAATTTAGCATTTTAACCTTTAAAAAAAAAAGAAGAAGCAGGAAAAAGAAATGAAAATCCACTCCCCCACCCCTAATTGTGAATGATGGTGGTGGATCAGGCTTGAGAACCTTACATTCCGCAGACATGTGTAAGTGCAGTTCCCTAAACAGATAGAGCCAAAACAGATGAGATGCTGAAATATTCATGACTGGAACTGTTAGCATCAGCTTCTAAAAATGCAGTTATCAGGTACACATGAGCCCAATTCTGAGTGGGACCATGGCCTACTGGTGGGGGGTTAAGCCTTGGGGTGCAGATACCCCAACAAGGCAAACAGTGGCTCCCATAGGGCATTTCAGGTCAGGCAAATGGTGCAAGAGAGAAGGCTTAATACCCATTCGCCAAGTGACATGCATGGTAAAATACCTCCCACCCCAGGATTAGTGCTAAAATTTATGCTCTTTGTATAATATGGGGGTAGCTGTCCAAGTTCGGCAGGAGGAAAGTTGAAAAATGAAGCAAGTGGGTAGGAATCTCCTCTCTGTTGCAGAACCATTGAGTACAATGAAAATGCAGATGACATTGGCAAGAGGAGGACAATGGGAAGCCCTGAATCACACCTAAGTCCTAGAGCCTCAGAAGGCCAGAATGAGAGCAGAACTTCCAGCAGACAGTAAGAGTCTGATTGGGGGCGGGGCGGGGGAGAGAAAGGAAGAAAATTAAAATCCTGAGCTTGTTGAAGAAGTTGTCATTTTACACACAGTCAAGAGGACGAAGGAGTCCACCTTAGTATTTTAGGACAGCATCTATGAGCACATGGACCTGATAAAACAAGGGATGATTTCTGAATATTGGAACCAAGGTACTAAATGAGTCCAATTAATTACTCCTGTTACAATCTTAGGAGATAGGTATATGCCAGCAACAGAGCACTTATTCCTATTTCTTTTACCTTTGCTCAATCTGTTGTGTTTATCTATGCAGTGTGCACTTTTAATTTACTTCATCAACTTCTTTTCATTGTAAATGCTGTCAATCTGACCTCTGTGAACCACATTAAGCCCCATTTGGTTCATGTTTACACGGAGCAAAAAAGGAAAGAGAGAGGAGAGAGATCCAAGAAGACATGTTATGGTCTTTAAGAGACCAAAATAGAAAGGAGCCTGAGCATACCCCCTGGCCAGGCCAAAACCTTTAGAACTGGTTTGATGGTGGTGGCGATACTCTGAAGAAAAGTGAGGAGTGAAGGAAGAAGAATCATGTTGGGAGTGTTGAGACAGGAAACCTGGGGTGGCTGAATCTTCCTGATTCCATGAGGTTCAGAAATGGGAGCTTGCAAGCCCCATATCACTCCACCATGGACCCAATTAGAATCAAGCACCTGAGCCTCGTAACTGCATTTAAAAAAAAATAGCTGGGCACTCTGATCACAGAACTCACAGCATCTTGTCCGCTTTGGCCCTTGGACATATGCATCAGGACAGCAGTCTATTTGAAAAGAAGAAATCTCATGTTAAATTATAGTTGTTGAAAAATAATGTATATGATCCAATCAAAATTACACTTCTAAGTCTTACTGAGATCAACATGAAAGCTTAAAGCATATTCTAAACCAGGGATGGCCAAATTTGCTTAATGTAAGAGCCACATAGAATAAATGTCAGATGTTTGAGAGCCACAAGACATGAACAAATATTTATTGAAAAATATGCAGATTTGCTTTTTATTAACATTAAATGAGACTGCCAAAAATAAAAACAAAAGGGGTAAAAACAGTGATATTTGTTTGCTAATTTGTTTGCTAATTTGTCCAATGATATTTGTTTTCTAATGATATTTATCTGTCTAAGAGAGGGGGGAGAAAGAGAGAAAAACAGAAACAAAGAAAGCAAATAGATGGGGGAGGGAAGGGGAGAAAGGGAAGAATAGAGAGAAAGAAAGATGAAAATAATTTAAAGTTGTATTCTTTCTCTGCCACCTCAAGCCTATCTAGGGAGGGGACCATTGGCTGGGAAAGGGAAGACCGATCAGGGAGGCATGCCTCCCCTTCACTTCCCCAGCCGCCCTGCTGGAAGCTGCACAATATGTGCCACAGTTTGGCCACCCCTGTTCTAAACCATTGAAACTGTGACCTAAAAGTGCTTAATTCAGCCTGGATCACATCCTGTGTTTTTGTCAGTTAGCAGAACTGTAAAACTACTGCTATGTTTTAGGAAGAAAGGGGGTTTGGTTTTGTTTCTAAAAAGATCACAACTGATACCCATTTGTTGCCCTCCGACAGAAACCTACCTTTTTATCATATACATCTTGCCAGTTTACTCCAACAAAGAAACTGTGCCGCATGATTTCTTTAGCATCATCTGGTCCTCCACCAAGTCTATTGAGGAAATGTGTACATTATATAAGTCTCGTTAGAAAATATGAAAAAACAAAATATTAAGATAAACTATTCATCAAATACTAAAAAACTGAAACTGTTCTATGTGCACGGTGTGGCATTTGGCAATTAAGTTATTTGATTATTTCATTTGCATGCTTCAAACTGAAGACCTATCATTTTGTTTTTAAAATTACAAAAACACATATCCAATGTACACACTTCACTACCACTATCACGCAACGTCTGCTTCGATTTCGGGGTAGATCTTTACTAACAGAAGGGATTTCTATCAGCAGAACAGGAATTCCTTGCCTTCCCCCTACTACTGCAGCCTAAAATAATCCCCCAAATGCTGCTCATGGGGGAAGGGGGACAACCAGAAACAGCATGAGGAGAGAGCATGAGGTCTCCAGCAAGAGGGGGGAATACACAAAAAAATCACATCCCTTTCTTTAAAATAACTTCATGGCAGCATCCAAATCATAGTTTTGAGCTCAAGTATTTATACATTACATATATAACTTGCCTTTCTTCCGTCATGGGATGACACCTCACAGGAGATACTGGAGTTGTGCCATACAGGAACTTACCACAAACAGCTTACTTACTTACTACAAATCAGCTACAGCAAGTTTTTTTTTTCATGTACTGTCCAACTATACCTTTGAAGCTTCCTCTGTATTAACAAGTTCTCTGGAAGGTCAGAGACTAGCTCTCATTTAGTAAATTTTAAAATTATTTATAATGCTCTGTGTTTTCCTGAGAGGCTAAGTATGTATTTGGCATGAGAAAGAAAGCAACAAAACTGTGAGTGATTTATACTTCCTTGCAGTAAGAATATTAAGTGAAATGAAGTGCTGCAAATATGATTCTATCTGCCAGAGCCCTTCTCCTTTCACAAAGATACCAACTGGAACACAGATGCTAAAGTATAACACCTAAAGGACTAATATCATTTTTATTTGTATTTTAAGTATCTTTACCTTCCCTTCAAAAAAGTATGATTTCCAATTGCCCTTCTTCCACATTCACACTCCTGCATTCTCCTTCCCTTTGGCAGAATTACACTATCTTACACAGACATAGATGACATGCTCATATTAGGTCACAGGTATAGAACATCTTAGGAGTTTTCCGTGCGCCTTGGTGTTTAGTCATGCCGGCCACATGACCACGGAAACATCTTCGGACAGCGCTGGCTCTTCGGCTTTGAAACGGAGATGAGCACCACAACCCTAGAGTCGGATTCGACTGGCTTTCGAACAAGGGAACCTTTACCTTTTTATAGAACATCTTGCGAATATAATTGCATTAATCGGGATAATAATATCTGGGAGGGATGGGCAGGGGGCATCTAAATCTAGCTGCATCTCTTTCTGCCTCCTTGTTCTGAAGGCAAGAGCCTGAACTGCCAACATGTCATTAGCTGCCAAGGCTGGACAATGTTCCCAAATAAATACCCTAATATTTTGTACTCCTATCTTTGTGATGAATTTTAATTGTTGTACAGCTCTTTGAAAGCAACCCTGGGATTAACATAATGAATAAATAAAGAGAAGTTTGGGACTAATGTAACATTTTGCATTTTTGGATGGTCTTTTTCTACAGAAGCCTATTATTTCAACTTTTAGCCCGTTTAGCCACTTCTCTCCCCCCCCCCCTTTGAGAGAGAGAGATACAGGACAGAAAAGCTTTAAATAAATAAATGGAAAATCCAAGAAAAATATCTAATGGAACAAGCTGAGATTCTGACTGTGGGGATGTAGGGGAAGTGGAAAGGAAGATGGAATCAATGAGACAGAACACCTGTGAGCTGTGGGGAGGCCACCAGAAGCTCCCCCCACCTTCATCTGCTGCCACTGAGATCAGTAGCAGCAATGGAAGGAAAGTAATAATTAACTACAACTTGCTTGCTATGTCTTTCACAGATAAATCACTTACAGAAGTCATTTAATAACTGGACCCCACTACTGCTATGTATTGGCTGCAGAATGTTATCAAAGCCCAGCCTAATTAAAATTGTCCAGATTAATTTTGGTTACTGAAACCTGAGGATGCAGACAAGTAGCTTGGATGACTATGTCTTATCAAATCAGTGCTCATCCCTTGCTCCTTGTGGTTTATTATACCAAACTAGAGAAGACTGTCTGTTTGGGTCCAAGCAGTGGTAAACACTTCTTTTCAAGAGGAACGTAGAGAGGGCAAAACTGCTCAATTCATACTTTTCCTCAGTCTTCTCTTGCAAAGGAAACGGTGCTCAATATGGCAAAAACAGAACACATGATGAGGGGAGTTGCAGCCTACGATCGACATAAACGTAGTATATAGGATTGACATTGGGGTAATATATAAACACCTAGTTTCTTTAAATGAAACTAAGTCCTTCGGGCCAGATAAACTACATTCAAGGGTACTAAAAGAACTCATGGATGTAATTTCTGAGCCTCTGACCATTATTTTTGAGAATTCTTGGAGAACAGGTGAGGTGCAAGAAGATTGGAGGCGAGCAAATGTTGTCCCCATCTTCAAGAAGGGGAAAAAGGAGGATCCGGGTAACTACCAACCAGTCAGCTTGACATCTATACCTGGGAAAGTTTTAGAACAAATAATCAAACAGACACTCCTTGAGCATTTAGAAAGGACAGCTGTAATTACTAAGAGCCAGCATGGGTTTCTCAAGGACAAGTCATGTCAAACTAACCTTATCACTTTTTTTGAGAAAGTTAGTACCTTGCTAGATCAAAGGAATACTGTAGACATAGTATATCTTGATTTCAGTAAGGCTTTTGATAAGGTTCCACATAATATTCTTGTTGGCAAATTGGAAAAATGTGGTTTGGATCCTATGACTGTTAAGTGGATCTGTAACTGGTTGACAGATCGCACCCAAAGAGGGCTTGTGAATGGTTCCTTATCTTCTTGGAGAGGAGTGATAAGTGGAGTGCCTCAGGGATCTGCCCTGGGACCTGTTTTCTTCAACATCTTTATCAATTATTTGGATGAAGAGATAGAGGGAATGCTTATTAAATTTGCAGATGATACAAAATTGGGAGGGGTAGTAAAGATGGTAGAAGACAGAGTCAGGATACAGGATGATCTTGACAGGCTGGAAAACTGGGCTAAAACAAATAAAATGAATTTCCATGGGCATAAAGTTCTGCATTTAGGTAGGAAAAATCAAATGCATGATTATAGGTTGGGGGAGACTTGTCTTGGCAGTAGTATGTGCGAAAAGGATCTAGGGGTCTTAGTAGACCATACGCTGAACATGAGTCAGCAGTGTGATGCAGTTGCTAAAAAGGCAAATGCAATTTTGGGCTGCATCAACCAAGTACAGTGTCCAGATCACACAAAGTGATGGTACACTTTACTCTGCTCCGGTTAGATTTAACCTAGAGTATTGTGTTCAGTTTTGGGCACCACATGCTAGAATGTGTCCAGAGGAGAGCAACGAAGATGGTGAGGGGTCTGGAGACTGTCCTATGAGGAAAGGTTGAAGGAGCTGGGTATGTTTAGCCTGGAGAGGAGACGACTGAGAGGTGATATGATAACCATCTTCAAGTACTTGAAGGGTTGTCATATAGAGGATGGAACAGAGTTATTTTCTGTTGCCCCAGATGGTCAGGGCAGAGCCAACAGGTTGAAATTAAATCAGAAGAGTTTTCGCCTAAGCATTTGGAAGAACTTCCTGACAGAACGGTTCCTCAGTGGAACAGGCTTCCTCAGGAGGTGGCGGGCTCTTCTTCTTTGGAGGTTTTCAAACAGAGGCTAGATGGCCATCTGACAGCAATGCTGATTCTGTGAACTTAAGCAGATCATGAGAGGGAGGACAGGAAGGGTTGCATCAGTGCTTAGTTCTTGTGGCCCTTTCTTACACACCCAGGGAAATGCTGATTGCCACTTTAGGGTCAGGAAGCAATTTTTCTCCAGGCGGGTTTGGCCAGAGATCCTGGAGGTTTTTTGTCCCCTTCTGGGCATGGAACAGCAGTCACTGTGGATGTGGAGGGGGAGGTATTTGTGAATTTCCTGCCTTCTAAAGGGGATTGGACTAGATAACCCTGGAGGTCCCTTCCAAATCTGTGATTCTATGAATTCCTACTAAAGAAACTGCTCTTGGACTCAAATAACTTGAACTATTGGCTGCTGGCAAATAGTCCCTTCCTAGGCAACATATCTGAGTGCTGGTTATGCAACTTCAGGTTTCCTTGGGTAAAACAGATTATCTAGAACCACTGCAATCCAGTTTCCAAACTTAATCTGTCAGGGCAGCTATGGCACTTCTCGGAGAGAAACAGGGTGTGTGTGACCCTACTGATTCTCCTAGATTTTTTCAACAACACTGACTAAGGTGTATTTCCAGACCACTTGATCAAGATGTTCTAAATATTTGGAGTGGTGTGTCTAAATGGCACACAACTCTTTTTCTCCTTTCCGAACAGTCAAGCAAGACAACAGATATCCGCAAATGAACATGTGGAATAATTAATAAGCTGGATGAGGTCTAACAAACTGATGCTTGGCAATGGTAAGACTGAGGTGCTCATATTTAGTAATACAGATTGGTTTAAAGACCAGTCTGTTCTGAATTAAGGTGCATTCCCCTAAAATAACTTGGAGGTACCATTATTCCCCTAAAATAACTTGGAGGTATCATTTTCCCCTAAAATAACTTGGAGGTACCATTAGAGCTTTGCACAGAAGTGTAAATTTGCTCTGTGGCATGATGCACCTTCAGTCAACTTATTCCATGTACCAGCTGTAGCTCTATCTTGAGAAGCAATAGCTAGTTGCAATTACCCATTCTTTACTGACAGTTTTAACTATATAGTTATTCTCTCTTAAGTCTCTAGCAGCCAGGGATCATGTTAAGCTAATATTCAGAGGCCCACCCCCACCTTGAGAAGTCAGTGAGCCAGAATGGTTCAGGCAAGAACCCAGTTGGTGCTAAACAGCAGCAACCAAACCATTACCTGTCTGTGTAGCACACTAAGGAAGGGAGACACTGCTTGAAATTTCTTGGAACAGAGAGTTTGTGTAAAGGCAAAGCCAGAGTGGAGTTGCCCAAATGTTGGTAACTGTGGACTGTTTAGCACATCCTGCCCTCAATATGCTAATAGCTTATCACCTCACCCATTCCCAAATGTGTTTTAATGACTGAAATTTGGTTTCATTATGGCCAAAGATTTTTATGTTGATTTACTGAGGCTTGGGGAGGTTTTTTGGAAATCTATGATATTTGCTGAGCCAGGGAAAACATTTTTAAGTGGGTTTTTTCTTGCCTTTTCTATTCTTGTTTATTGATTTTATTGCGGTGGGCACTGCAATGCAACAGTGTCTGAATTATTAACTGTTTTACTGATGTTTTAATTGCTGGTATTTATTTATTGTTGCATTGCTTGCATTATTGTTTGAATTGTTTTTACTGGAAACCACTCTGTTAACTATGCAAAGATATTTTACAAAAAGAAATGTTTTAGGAGAGAATGTCTGGAATTTTTTATAATAGTTTCATATCAATTGAAAACCAAGAAATAGTTTCCACAGAGTGCAATCAACACAATCCTTGTCTAAATCCTTACAAACTATTTTTGCACTAATTGAAACGGTAGGAAACATACAGAAAAATGTGTGCATTTTGGTAGGGAACTAATTGCCACATGTGCTTAATTAATTAATTGCCTGAATGTAAATAGACTTTTTAAACTGTTTGTAACTTTCAGACCCTTTAAGATTAAAATTTTATTTGTTGTGCTTTCAAACTTACCGTTTATTTGGATCTTTTATTAGGAGACCTGAAAGCAATGATTTTGCATCAGATGAGAGAGTTCGAGGAAATTTTATATCCTCCATTAGAATTAATTCAAAAAGCTTTTCATGATCCTGGTTGTAGAATGGCAATCTGCCACACATCATTTCATACATGACAACTCCAAGACCCCACCAGTCCACTGCACGACCATAATCATTATCTTCCAAAACCTAAAACAGTAACAAAAATTACTAACATTTGTTATGGATGTCCTCATTCCTTTATAAATAACTTTAATATGTATCTCTAAGTTTTATGAAGCTTATTGTTTATTTTCTCACTGAGCACAAAAGAAAGGATTTGATTTGGCTGTGTAGGCACAACGCACATGTGAAAAAAAGACTCCTACTAGAATCAATGAAACCCTAGTTTTCTTAACTCTTTTCCATGACAAGCACACAAGTATACAGTGCAAGAGGCCTTGGAAGGAACAGGAGATCTGCCCATGCCTCTCATCCTCATATAGTGTTCAGTCTCTGCATCATGCAAGGTACTTATGATAATGACCCCAAATAATTTGTATGGTGTATGAAGAGTAGTCTGGACTAGAAAATAGGAAAGCATGCACATATTCTCTGCATTACCCCTGCCTTCATCTGCACAAGCACCAATGTACACTGACTGCAGGCAGAAAAAGAAACTGATATCAAGTTCACTGGGATACTGTTTCTTCCACAGATGCTGAATTGAGCCCAATATCTGTGCTAACCAGAATGCAGTGTTCAAATACCCCAGTACCTTTTTTTTAAAAGGAAGCTATAATACTTCCTTTAAATAATGCATTCATTGTTACAGTGGCTGATGTGTGGTAAGAGCAGAGCTTTTTATGTAGAAAAAGCCCAGCAGGAACTCATTAGCATAATAGGCCACACCCAACAGCAGAAACACATTAGCAGATTAGGCCACACCCCTAACAGAGCAGCTCATTAGCATATTAGACCACACCTCCACGTTGCCAGAAGTGTGGTCATTCAGCCACACCCACCTTTTGCTTCTTATTCTGTTTACCTTGTTTGTTGTCAAAACCCAAGGGGTTTTTTTGTAGCAGGAACTCCTTTGCATGTTAGGCCACACACCCGTAATGTAGCCAATCCTAATGAGTTTCTGCTGTTGGGTGTGGCCTATTATGCTAATGTTCCTGCTGGGCATGGCCAACTCGGGAGCCAGCCGGAACTCCGTTCCTGTGCGTTCCTGCCCAAAAATAGCCCTGGGTAAGAGGTTACATTAGTGTCAAAGACAAATGTTAGTTTCTGTGATTCTGTTAGGGAGGAGTAACAGAATTCTCCATACCCAAAACCATCACCATTTTACAAGAAATTAAACATTAATTTTAATTATTTCTGCAACCTCAGTAAACAAAACCTTGTTGATCAATCATATGAGATTTACAATGCAATCCTAAACCAAGTTACACCCTTTTAAGTCCTTTGACTTCAATGGACTTACAAGGATATAACTTTGTTTACTCTTGCAATGTTAATACATTAAATCTTCATACTTTTCTGCATGAATAAAACAAAAGGGATTAATAAAAAGGCATGCTTTCCTTGTTATCATATGTTTCATGTATGGGTCACAACATGGCAGCATCTTAGTAGAGACACATTCCCTTTTGTATGAAGGGAAGGAGAAATGTGTCATAATAAACTACTTATATTAAAAATAATTAACTTAAAATTGTTGCTCAGTTTTGTAAGCATACTTTTTATTGATCAAAAGGTTTTACTCAACTGATCAATTATACTAACCAGTTTTGCAGCTCTAATTTTTATATATACATCTTTGGCTGACCAAGCACTCATTCAGTGCAATTTAAAAACAAAAAAACCCCAAATACAACCTGAAGAGCAGCAAAGCTCTACTCCTGCATTCAGGCTCTGCCAATGAACATTCCAGTTTTGCTGTTTTGTCTCAGCAAGGGTTTCCCTGTTCCATGATAGAAAGTCAGAATGTCTCTCTAGTGATGCCTGATCTGGGCTTGCATATGTAGCGTAATAAACTGATGTACTAAACTGAAGCAAACCATTATTTTGGGAGGTGGGGCTGCTTTAAAAACCTTGAATGAATTTACTCAGAGAAGATGTAAACTTTTGGACATATACCAATATAAAGTATGTAGATTTTATTTCAGGCATCTTCCAAGGTATTCCATGTTTTGTGAGGAATAAAACCAATATCCCTAGCTACAAATTTCCACAAAACCTTTGTGTCAACAAAGAAAATGAAATATAAAATTACACATTTTCTAAAGGAGAATTATTTATTTTAACTGAATTTTATTACAGCCTGATTCTGTACATGTTTACTGAGAAGTAACTCAAGAAAATATGCACAGAATTGCAGTCCATTTATTATGTAGTATGTAAATATATTAAACACTGTAAGACATTGTGTAATTTTCTCCATAAAGCAAGCACTTTATTAGGATTACATTATTTTTCACATACAAGTGACTATTGTAAAATAAATATTCATCTACACTGAAGGTTTCATCCCCAGATCTTGTTTTGTTAGCTCTAACTTGGCAATCAAATAAATTTTTATTTTTACACTATTACAGAAGTGCATTTTTCTAGGTTTCCAAAACCACCTTATTCAACCTTCCCCATCTGTCACCATCTGCTTCTTTTTAGCATGTACTTTTTGTGTGATCACATAAGCATGTGAAAAATAACTAACATTCAGATGATTATCTGCTCATACATTTGAGGACTGGGCATAATAAAAGTGAACTGCCAAAAATGTACTTAACACTTTTAATTTTGTTGGGTCTTGCATGTGAGGTACATTTGATTTTCAAACTGTTTTACAATTGGAGGACTGAGCAAGTACTGTTAACAGAAGTGCCAACATTCAAATAATTAGCAGAATAATAGTTTGCTATGATTCTCAATGAATAAAAATATAGAAAACTCTTTCAAATTTAAAAGGAATTATTTAAAATACAGAATTTTATTTTTAACCAAGGCCTAAAAGATGGAGATTAGAGAATTGTAAGGAACAGTGTAACTTGAATGAGTACAAGATACTAGGTTCTTCAAAGTAATGGCTTCTAATACAGACAATACTGCACACTCTTTTTGTTTATACATACACACATGTACACTTCTATACTGCTCTTAGGCTGGACTCCCAGAAGTCTCCTGAGAGTGATCGCGTCTATACCTGTATAAAAACAGGTTGATTACCTGTAACTGATTATCTTCAAGTGGTCATCTGTTCATTCATACCCTTGGGACTCCAGGCACTAGTGCCAACCCCGAGCAGTGAATTCAAAGCTCCTAGAGGATCTTTTGCGCCCCCTCCCTGCGCATGCCCAGGAACTCCACTGCACATGCCCAGGGCAGGGCACAGAAATCCCGCCAGTTCCTTCTGACCGCCGTCCAACCCACACAAGATTGTAGGCTGCCAGCAGAGGGGAAGGCCGGGTGGGTGGTGTGAATGCACAGATGACCACTCAAAGATCATCAGTTACAGGTAAGCAACCTGTTTATCTTCTTCGTAGTCTCTGTGCATCACACCCTTGGGAGAGTAGCAAGCTCTGACCTACCTGGTAGTGGGCGATGGCAGCTACTCAGTCGCACATTGATTGGAGAACAGCTCTTCCCACAGCAGCACGGCTCGGACATCTAGGGCACAGTGTCTGAAGAACGTGGTAGGTGTCGCCCAGGTTGCAGCTCTGCAGATCTCCTGCAGGGGAGTGCCTCTGGGGAATGCTGTAGATGTGGCCAGTGCCCTCGTGGAATGTGCTCTCACTGGACCTGAAGGTGGACGCTTGGCCAGGAGGTAGCATAATTTAATTGTCTCCACGATCCACTTAGACAGTCTTTGGGCTGAGACTCCGAGTCCCTTCACGTGTTCTGAGTATGAGACAAAAAGGCAAGTATCCCTTTGCAAGGCTTTCGTCCTGTCGATACAATGGGAGAGCTTTCTGAACATCAAGTAGGTGGAGGCGCCTCTCCATCTTGGACTGTGGATCGGGGAAGAAGGTAGGAAGAGAGATTTCTGTCTGAAGGTGGAAGTCTGAGATGACCTTAGGTAGAAACTCGATATCTGGGAGTAACAATACCCCCTCTGCATGAAAGCGCAGGTAAGGCGGATCACACCTGAGTGCTTGTAGTTCATCCTCGTGCTTGGCGGAGGTAATGGCCACCAAGAAGGCTGTCTTCCATGACAATAGCTGGAGGTTGCCTGTGGCCATTGGCTCAAAGGGACAATGGGTCAAGCTATGCAGGACAAGAGGTAAGTCCCACACAGGAATGGGTTCCTTTACTGGGGGGTACAGACAGATTAGGCCCTTTAAGAAGCATTCAGTGTCCGGGTGGGCAAACACAGGACCCATTCTTATGCTTGTGATAGGCTGAAATAGCCGCTAGGTAGATTTGCACAGAATCATGACTCATGCCCTTACCCACCAGCATGAGATGGTAGTTGAAGATGAGGGGCAGGCTCAGGTGAGTACAGTTCAATTCCGACTCATGTAGCTCAGCACTGCCCCAGCTCAGGTGATCCACTTGCATATTCTGCTCCCCTGGGAGATGTGAGGCTATCAGGAAGATTCCTTGCTGAATGCACCATGACCACAGGTCAATCGCTAGGAGGCAGAGTCTCTTGGACACAGTCCCGCCCTGCCATCTTATGTAACTTATCGCTGTTGTATTGTCTGTGAGAAAATATCACAAATGGACCCAGTAATTTTGTAAAGTCAACAATACATGAAAGAATTACTGTACATGTTCATACTTATTGAAAACACATTAGTAAGTCATGCTGGTTTCTACTTGATTTTAATAGGTGAACTTCATCCGAAGACAGAAGCCCAAAACGATGCCAAGGATGTTTAAAGATAGAACGTTTCGACTGAACGTCTTTTTCAACCATCCTAACAAAAGGAAGGGAATAAAGTTTTTTACAAAAACCGGAATTGTTTAGGACAATTTTACAATGTAACAATAAATTTTATGGTATACATACAGTTTGTAGTATTATTCTTTACTTCATGTTTCCATGCAAGGTACAAAAATTCTAAAGACAGAAATCACATTATTCATTTTAAAGCTCACATGTATGTTTAAAGCATGCCCTTAAACATTATTTTTAAATAATAATAATACTCCTTTAAATCTTACCTATAACTGGCTGAGAGCAGCTCTCACAAGATTAACAACAT